TCCTCCCTATACCTTAAGTTAAGGAGGGAATGTTCCCCCTTCTTTTACATCTCTTGACCTTTGACCTTTGACCCCCAGCTTCGACATCCCAACTCGTTTTCGGATTACCCCCCCACGCCCCCAATATCGTGACCGTACGTAGAGCGGGTAAGATTTGTGCCCAACTGTTGACGAACGGACGGACGGACGGACGGACGGACGGACGGACGCACGAACGGACAATCATGCGATTCTACAAGCTGCATCTGACTATGTCAGATGAGCTAAAAACTCATTTTTTTCACTCATTTCACTTTTCTAAAATAATTAATACTTTGATGACATCACCTTCTACGACGAATAAAATAATATTCAAAAAGCTGTTCTATTTTGTGTGAAATGAATTTTTTTCAGACATTTGTTCTCTTAATATGAACATGTTGATTTAGTATAGAAATTTCTCGATTTGGTAATTCCAGAAATTTAGCCTTGCACGATGCACTTTAACAGATATGTCGAGGATCAACCGTTCACTGATGTCTTCCCTGGGGTTTCACCGAATACTGTCATCTCTGCATGCAGGGCCGGATGTCGGCATAAGCTAAACAAGCTACAGCTTAGGGTCTCACAGTCTGAAGGGGCCTCTCAAAATCTCAGGTTAAATATCAAAATGCATATTTTTTAAAGTTCTAAAGGAGCAACCCTCCTCTCTCCCCACATGGATTTCTTACGCTTCTTGGCAGATTCTTGCCAAGTTCAGTTGTTATTACACAGCGTTATTCTCAATTACCAATCGCCAAAATAGGACCCTCTACTGCTTCCCGTAGCTCAGGACCTCCTCGCCATGTCTAAATCTGGCCCTGGCTGCACACACGCCTACTGCTTGCCCGCGGCGACGGGCAGTTCTACGCACTGCTCCGTCCCCGGGTATGGCGGCAGCACTATGTCGTACTCGGCCGCCAGCCGCCGCGGCAGGAACCGCCCGCCGAGGTAGTGGTGTCTCCCGGCGAAGCCCCGCGCGCACAGCTTGGGCGCGGTGAGCGAGACAAGCATGCTCGGGTGCAGGCCGTCGCCGGCCGTGTCGCCACGCTCCACGTCCCAACCCGACGGAACGTCGACGCTGCAGACGGGCACCTCGACGCTGCGCAGCATCTCCATGATGCCGACAAACTCTTCGCGCACGGGCGGCGCGAAGCTGAAGCCGAACAGAGCGTCGACGACGACGCCGTACGCCGCGTCGACGTCCGCCGCCGCCGGCATCTCGGCGGCGAACGGGATGCCGGAAGCCTCGCACTGCGCGACGAGGTTCGTGTAGAGCTCTCGCTTCGTGCGGCGCGGGTAGAAGACGCGCGGACGGTAGCCGAAGGCGGCGAGGTGGCGCGCGCACACGAGGCCGTCGCCGCCGTTGTTGCCCGGCCCGCAGACGACGAGTACGTCGCGGCTGGTCAGATGCGCGATCGGGTACGCCTTCGCGATCGCCGTGGCGACGCTGAGCCCGGCGAGCTCCATGAGCTGATCGACAGAAAACCTGCAGATAGAGAGGAATGGTAAAACCTATATATATATATCAG